CAAATGGTTGGTTTTTACAACTTACAACAGATAACAGATAATCAGAGTTGGAAGGGACCTTGTAGGTCATCTAGTTCATTCCCCCGCACAAGCGGAAGACCCTACACCATTTCTGACAAATGGCACTCCAATCTCTTCTTGAAAGTCTCAAGTGATGGCGGTCCCACAACTTCCGAGGGCAACTTCTGTTCCATTGATTGATTGTTCTCACTGTCAGAAAGTTTCTCCTTATTTCCAGGTTAAATCTCTCCTTGTTCAGTTTCCATCCATTATTCCTTGTCTGGCCTTCAGGTGCCTTGGAAAAATAGCTTGACTCCCTTCCTCTCTGTGGCAGCCCCTCAAATATTGGAAGACTGCTATCATGTCTCCCCTGGTCCTTCTCTTCACCAGACTAGCCAAGCCCAATTCCTGCAACCGTTCTTCATATGCCTTAGTCTCCAGTCCCCTAATCATCCTGGTTGCTCTTCTCTGCACTTTTTCTAGAGTCTCAACGTCTTTTTTATAATGTAGTGACCAAAACTGGATGCAGTACTCTAGATGTGGTCTTACTAAAGCTTTATAGAGTGGTATTAGTACTTCACTTGATCTCGATTGTATCCCTCTGTTAATGCAATTTAGGATTGCATTAGCTTTTTTGGCTGCTGCTGCACACTGTTGGCTAATATTTAGCTGGTTGTCCACGAAGACTCCAAGATCCCTCTCACAGTTACTGCTATTGAGCCTGGTTTCACCCAGTCTATATGTGTACTTTTGATTTTTCTTGCCTAAGTGTAGGACTTTATTTTTCTCTATATTGAATTTCATTTTGCTAGATACGGCCCAGTGTTCTAGTCTGTCAAGATCCATCTGGATCTTGAGCCTATCTTCTTGGGTGTTAACTATTCCTGACGGCTTAGTATCGTCTGCAAATTTGGTAAGTTCCCCTTCTATTCCCTCATCTAGGTCGTTAATGAAGATATTGAAGAGTATTGGGCCTAAGACGGAACCTTGTGGCATCTGACTGCTTACTTCCCTCCATGTAGACTTAAACCCATTAAGGACTACTTGTTGAGTACGGTTTGTCAGCCAGTTGTGAGTCCATCTAGTAGTGGTGCTATCTATTCCACTTTTTTCTGGCTTACTAAGAAGTAGATTGTGGTCTACTTTGTCGAATGCCTTGCTGAAATCTAAATATATTATGTCCACAGTATTTTGCTGGTCTACTAATTTAGTCACTATGTTGAAGAATGAAATAAGATTGGTTAGGCATGATCTGTTCTTAACAAACTCGTGCTGACTGTAAGTTATTACTTTACTTGTTTCTAGATGTTGGCAGATCTGTTTTTTTATTATATTTTCAAATATCTTCCCGGGTATTGATGTTAGGCTGATTGGTCTATAGTTTCCCGGGTCTGTTTTTGTTTTCCTTTTTTGAAGATGGGAACCACATCAGCTCTTTTCCAGTCCTCTGGTAGTTCCCTGGTGCTTCAGGATTTTTGAAAGATATGGTGCCGTGGTTCTGAGATGACCTCTGCCAGCTCCTTTAAAACTCTGGGGTGTAATCCATCAGGCCCCGGTAATTTGTGTTCATCAAGATCAGACAGGTGTTCTCTTACTATTTTTTTGCTTATTTTAACTTTTATTTCTGGTCTGTCTTTTACAGTTATGTTTTTGGTACGTTGAGCTATAGTTTCTTTTTGCGTGAAGATCAATGCAAAGAATGAGTTAAGCAGTTCTTCTTTCTCTCTGTTGCCTGTTACTTCTTTGCCATCTTCTCTCTTTAGTGGACTGACTGTTTCCTTGATGTTTTTCTTGTTATTTATATGTTGGAAGAAACATTTTTTATTCTCTTTGACTTTTTTTTGTTCGTTCTGAGCCTTTGCTTTCCTGACTTCGTCTTTGAAGATTCTGGCTATCTGCTGATATTCTGCCTTAGTTGTATGTCCTTCTTTCCATTTGTTGTACTTGTCCTTTTTTTCTTTCAATTTGCCAGAGAGATCTTTGTGCAGCCATGCTGGTTTCTTCTTGGATTTCTTGTTTTCCTTTCTCAGTGGTATTGTGCTGGTCTGAGCTTCTATGATCGTACTTTTCAGAGTTTCCCAAGATTCCTGAGTTGTTTTCCCCTTTAGGATTTTCATCCATGGAATCTTTCCCAAGTTCTCTCTGAGTTTATTGAAATCAGCTCTTTTAAAATCCAAGACTCTGGTGTCATTATGTTCTGTTGCTTGTGTTTGTGTTATGTTAAATTCTAGTATGACATGGTCACTATCACCCAAGGTTCCTGCAGTTTCAACTCCCTCTATCACTTCTTCTCTGTTTGTAAGAATTAAGTCTAGTATGGCTGTCCCTCTGGTTCCATCCTCTACCTTTTGGTAAAGTTGTCAGCTAGGTTGGTTAGGAACTTATTTGATTTCTCACTTGGTGCAGAATTAGTTTTCCAATTGATATCAGAATAATTGAAGTCCCACATTACTATTGTTGTGTGTTTCCTGCATATGTTTGTTAGTTGGTTGGCAAAAAGGACATCTATTTTTTCTGCTTGATTGGGTGGCCTATAATATACACCCATGGCTATGTCATTCTTTTTTTCTTTTATATTGACCCATATGCATTCTAGGAGGTTTTCATCTTTGGTTTCATGCATCTCTGTAGCAATATAGTGGTCCTTTACATACAGTGCAACTCCACCTCCTCTTTTATGGGGTCTGGTTTTTTTGAACTGCAACAGTGTTCCCCAATTCTTACAGAAACCAGTGAACTGGTTTAATTATTCAGTTCATTACAAATGCTTTCCTGTCACTTCAGTTGCCTGAACCCTGAAGGCAGCAAACTTAGGGAAGTCTCAAAGGGAATCTGAACTCGGTTGTACTATCCTGGCCAGAAGGCTGTCTTTCCTCCTCCTTCCTTCCCTCAAGTTCTCCAGTTTTTGCAAGTTCAGATTTCTTTGATCTCATGCTCAGGATATTTAGCTTTCCTTTCATGCATGAGAGTAAAATGCCACTTTTAGCTCCCAGCAGAACAGCTCTCTGATTAGATAAGGGCACAAACATTTGCATAGGTATCCTTTGGAGAGAGAGAGACAGAAAAAAGCAGGAAACTTGCATTTCCAGATGTGGCCTCGACTTAATCAGTCCCTTCCTTCATCAAAAGCAATGGCAAAAACTAGTCATTTGTTCTTGAAGGAATCCATTACAAATTAACTGGTTGGGTGTCAATCAATAAACTTTGATTTTGAAGTAGCATTTTATTGCTGAAATTGAGCATTTCCCCCCCTGTAGTGAAAAGTTCTCTGTGCAGTGGACAACATAGTGAATTTCTAAGCTACCCTTTCTTGAGAAGAAACATTTTATACTGAGATAAAATATACTGTGAAAACATATGGATTGCGTACATCCTAAGCTACATACATTTTGATACACTCACACACATCCCAACATAAATTCAGAACAGAGAGACTCAAACATTTTATCTCTTTTAGTTCTCAGAATGATGTTTTGGATTTTCTAAATGAGGGGTGTTTATTAGGTCCAGAATATCTGTTTGGGAAAGATCTTGTACATGAATGGACCCAATTAGCTTCCTTGACAGCAGTAAGGAAGATCTTACTTGCTGTCTTGCTGCATTTTTTGATTTCTTGTGTCCTGGGATTTCTTGTTTATTTTGTTTGGTCCTGCTTAGCATTTTTAGGTTGTATATCCAGGCATACAACTTTTCTTTACCTGAATCTATCCTCCACTGACTACATAGACACAGCTATATCATTTTCTTAGCAACTCTACAAAACTGCTTTGCTGCTGTCTTCCATCTAGGAGTTTTATTTCCTTGTGGTTTTCCACCCTTATAAACATTCATACCCACAAACACACCACTAGTAAGTTTGTTTTATTTTAAACATTCACTTATTTGCATATCTATGAAAAATAGAAGAAAGGCTGGACACACCCCTGTCTATTTGGAGTGTTAGCAATCACTGGCCACCTGTTTCAGTTAGGTGATTCACCCCATGTCACTTTCTTCTGATGTGACAAAATGTCACTACTCTATGTGAAGAGTCAACACAATGGCAACTGGCCAGATTGCCATTATCAACCTGCTGTTCATGGGCAGATGCTCAAACTGAAGTGCTAAGATGATCTCTCTTGTAGTAAAGTTTATGTATCCCAACATCAGTTAGAATGTTTGTTTCATGAACCAAAGAACAAAGAAAGGTTTAACAAGTTTTCTTCTCCACTTTAAATTAACTACGGTTGGAAAGAAGAGAAGGTAACAGATTAAAAAATAAAATCAGTGCATTCTACACAGAATACAATTAGTTTTTCTCCAACTTCCCTCCCTTTGGTGCATGCTAAGTGCCTGTGTGTACCAAGCACATCTTTAAACCCACTGTAGCATGAAAGTATTGCACCTGATGAACTTCAGATGTGCTTTAAGAGGGCAGAAACCAAAAAGCAGAAGGAAATAGAAAAGGGCACACTCTGCTCTTTGAAGAGTCACCAGCATGGAACTGGATTGATCTAATACAGAGGAGGAATGGGAAAAGGGCAAAAGAAAACAGGTTTGGCACCTCTACAATTTCCTCCTACTCCTAAAATGCCCCCACCCAGCAGATGTCTTTTCTTTCAAAAATGTGTTTTTCTAATTCGTACATAGGCTTAATTCTCAGACTTCATCACATAACAAAAATGGTTGCATCAGCTTTATTGCATGCTTTTTACTTGATTATTGGACTTGACTTCAGCACCTATAATTCCAGGGTACAAAGCCATGTCAACCCAAAGATTACAAGAGTGGGCCTAATGACTGGGGGATAATGGAGATGAACTCCAATATATCTATGTAATATATTTAGAAGCACTCACAGATGCAGAAATAGATTTTTTTTTGCAGCTAATAAAGCTAGATCAAATGAGACTTGCAGGTACATGAAGGAAGGCAATAAGGATGACATGCATATCTGCTTGCAGGTACATGAAGGAAGGCAATAAGGATGACATGCATATCTACTACGAGATGTAACATACCTGTGAAATGGATTACAAATCCTGTATTGCTGACAGAAGCATCACTGCGAAAGGCCAGGAAGAGGTTGTTGCTGCTGCTCTCAATCCTTTCTGGTACTTGGGTATCATAGAAACTCCCAATCAGGGGACTAAGTGAGCTGGGCCCATCATAGATGTGCAAGAAATCATACCCTGGTTCCAAATTAAACCTGAAAGGAAAGAGAAAAGGAAACTAAGTATATCAAGTATCTGACTACTGAGACCAGTGATATAATGGAACTCTCTGAACCTCAGAACAATAATGGACATTTGCAAAACATTGCAAGACAAGAACAGATGCATATTCATAGCTCAACAATGACTTAGCCAGGTCTATTAAGAAACATTTAGAGCAGTGTTTCTCAACCTCAGTGAATTTAAGATGTGCAGGCTTCAACTTCCAGAATTCTCTAGCTACCGTGTTTCTCCAACAATACGGCCTCCACCAATAGGAAGGCCCAGCATGATTTCTAGGCATGAGGTGAAATTAAGCCCCGCCCCCAAAATTAGGCCTATTTAATCCATGCATTTCCCCATTTCTCACATCGTTCGTTAAAACTACACGAGGTGAAGAGAAATGGGGGGGGGGGAAGGAGAGGGAGAAAACTTGCCTTTAGGAGCACCCTGCAGGTAGCCTAGGCTAGAATACCCCAATCTACTACCGATACTAGCTCCCTGAAGGCAGAGTCACCAGCCGCTTCTATTGGCTGGTAGAAGTGGCCTCGGGGCGAGTGCCCATGCGCATTCCCCTCACCACGAAGCTGTTTCTATCGGCTGATGGAAGCTCCCCAAAGGCAGAGTCACCAGCCGCTTCTATCGGCTGGTAGAAGTGGCTTTGTGGTGAGGGGAGTGTACGTGGGGCGCTCGCCCTGAGGCCGCTTCTACCGGCCAATAGAAGCGGCTGGTGACTCTGCCTTTGGGGAGCTGCTATCGGCCAATAGAAACAGCTTTGTAGCGAGGGGAGTGCGTGTGGGCGCTCGCCGCGAGGGCGCTTCTACCGGCTGATAGATTTCCTCCCACATCCCCACACACACACCTAGAGAGTCCCATGCGCACTCACCTCTCCACCACACCACTTCTACCAGCCGATAGAAGCGGCTGGTGACTCTGCCTTCGGGGAGCTTCCATCAGCCGATAGAAGCAGCCTTGTGGAGAGGTGAGTGCGCATGGGGCACTCTAGGTTGGGGTGCATGTGGGGGAGGAAATTAAGTCACACCTGAAAAGACGTCCTAGCCGTTTTTTCGGGGCTCAAATAAAAAAAAAAGACCCGGCCTTATTTTATGAGAAACACGGTAGCAATACTAGGGAATTCTAATAGTTGAAGTGCACATATCTAAAGGCCACTAGGTTTGAGAAACACTGCTTAAGCAAAAGAATCAAAGGCAGCAAGGAAGACCCACCTCAAGACAGTTGCTAATTAAAGGGGCTAGAATACCCATATGTTCTACAATCTAGCCTTTTTCCTTATAACAAATCCAGATTAAAAAAATGTGTGAGATCAAGCTTTCTGCTACTGATGGGAGATTGACAACTGATCCTTTTAGTTCTTTGTTGTCCTTTTATAAAGATTTATACTTGAAGTAGCATTTACTGGAGGTGTAGAGGAGCACAGAAATGATCATGGAGAAGGTTTCAGAGACTGGTAGCAAAATGTAAGCTTAACCCTGAAAATCAAGGCACATTGACTTCTTTTGGTTGAAAGAAAGGGAAGGAATAACTGTCAATATTTCATTATTATAGCTCATATCAGTCAAATAAAGTTCTACTATTTCTAGTAGAACTTGTTTCCAGGCCTGGTCTACCTCAAAGGGCCGATTAGAACTAAACACAGCAGAAGGATTAAAAAGGGCAAATTTGGGAAAAGGTTATCACTTTCAGTCTTCAGCTCCTAATATGGAAGAGAAACTTTTGCACATCTCTGTTATTCATAAATATGGAACCCATGATCCTGAAAGTGTTAGATGGAGAGATGCTACCATATAACAAGAATTAAAGAGACAGGGAAGGGTTTAGGAAAAGGTGTTCAATATTCTAAATGAATGTGATTGGGTTAGTCTGCTAAGTGACATGGATGGATTGGTCCCAGTTGATGAACCAAGAAGAGAAGTGACTAGTGACTGTTTACTTGGAAAAGGACGGTTGATTTAGCATACTTGGTTTATGATTTTTTTTTAATTTCTATGTATGGAATAGTAAAAGGATAATTTAAAAACATGGTTGCTTTGATGTTTATGATGAAAATAGAGGGAATCAGTGAAAGACTCAAGTGTAATGAAAAATTCTATATGTGGGGCAGATATGTAGTAATGTCAAAGCTGGAATATATATATAAGTGTGTGTGTGTGTGTGTGTGTGAGAGAGAGAGAGAGAGAACTGTATGTTTGTGACAATGTTAATCAAAATTATTGCTATATATGCTAGCATCCTAGCCTCTGCTGATGAAAAGATGTCATAAATGCTGCCAGAAAGTTGAAAAAACAGTAAGGGTGAAGGTATAGATAGGGTTACTCATGAAATATGGATGTGGTTTGCTTATGGAGTAGTTGTGTGTTTTGTTTAATGTGTGTGTGAAGACTTTATCTGTAATGAGGTTCCACAGAGATCTGGATAGCTCCCATGCTATTGATGCTTCAGAAGGCCCCAGAGACCTTGGTTGTTCTCCAGGCTTTGCATTAGGGTGGTAGATTCTCTTTTCCTGGATGCTAATTGTTGGTGAAATGTTTGCTGGTACTCCAGTTCATTATCTTACTTCTTTCTTTTCTTCTCTGAATTATAGTTTTATTGTCTGCTTTTTAATATATTGTTTCCATATTGTTTGGTGTATTGTGAGCTGCCCACAATCATTTGGAGTTGGATATCATAAAATCAATTGACAAATTAAAAATGAAACTGTGCCTGGGGCTTAAAGGAATGTCCTTGTTATTCCTTTATACAAAGGGGAAGGTGTGGAAACAAGAGTAAATGGAAAATCTACACAATTTTATTAAGTATGTCTGGGAAAAAACTTGGTAGAATTCTGATTAATTGTGTACAAGAGGTGGCAAAGAATAAAATTTGGGAAGTGGCTTTTATGTCAGGGTGTACAGACAAGATTTTTGCTCTTCAGAAGGCATTGAAAAATATATGAATATAAGAAAAGTATTGCATGTTTGTGGACTCAGAGAACATTTATGATGAAAGTGAAATGGCTTGAATTATGAAAAAAAATTATATGTTGATGGAAAGTGGTAGAGCTATAGATTGCAAATTGCTACGAATTGTATGAAAGGATGGTTATTTAAATTGTATGGAAGGATGGTTTCTGAAAGTGGTAGAGCTATAAATGATGAAAATAAGGCATGAATATCTATCTTTATTGGAAACTTCTTGTAGATATTTTATGTGAAATAGAAAAAAAATGAGCTTATGATTTATGGTTTTGATGTTTACACAAAACAGATTATAGAAAAAGAGAATTATGCTGTAACCATAGAGCAAGAGGTAATTTTATAATTTCTAACTAGTTCTAAGTAGACTGGATGTTACTTCTTTAAATCTTTATTTCTTTTCTTCTTTCCTTTTTCTTTTTATATATTTTCCTTTCATGCACTTTTAGTATTTTCTTTGGGGTTTTTTCTTACTCATTAATTTGTATTAGCTTGCATGCTCCTTAAATATTTAGTAAAATATGATAATAAATTTAATTAAAATATTGCAAAATTTTAAAGAAAAAAACAAGAGTGAGAATAAATGAATACCTAGTGAATAAATCAACAAAGAGCAGGAATTGTAATGCCCCCTTGTTGTTCAGTGTATTGATGAATAAATAGATATAAATAGTGGTTGCTGCAGATGTGTGTTGATTGTAATATGAATTTATAATTTTATATATACTTTTGTAAGTAGATAATACCAGGTTGTAGGCTTAAATGCAGAATGATTTGCAGAAAATGTTATGATGCAAAAAGCAGTGTAGACTTGAAAACTGCTGTAGTGAATCTCACAGTTGTGTTTCACTGCAAAATCAGAGTTCGGGTTATGCATCAGTAGTGAAAACTACAGCATGTAGATTAGTTTGTATACTTTGGTGTTATGTTTACTTAAGGTTGGGAACTTTAAGATGTGGGAATCCTATAAGAAAATGTAGTCTGATTCAAGAAATGAATATTTTATGGAGGAAGGAAAATCAGATTTGTATAATGTGCTTCCATCCAGGTTTTTACAGGTACTGCTCAACTTGCAACATTTAATGATGATCCAGAATTATAACAGCCTTGATGGTCATTACAAAATGTTGCACACACTCTTGAGGTCATGTGATTATCCTCTGGATGCCTAGCTGAACTACTCCCTATTTTTGACCAATATTCACTTTGGGGCAGAGACATTTTGACTTTTTTTTCCCAACAGTCTTCCTATGATCCTGTATCAAGGCAGGCCTTTTCCCAGATAATAGAGAAGGTTGCAACTATCTGTTGATGTAATTGATTCTGGTGTCTGTGAATCAATCCCCTCTTTGTTTGGAAACTTTCACAGACAGTAATAATACAGAAAGATTGTTGTTGGTGGTTTTTTTTTAGTGTATGGTGTACATAGTCAAGGAAATCTACAATGCTTTTTAACACGGAAGAGTTCTGGCAGCCTAAGATTGCTAGTTCATTTTGTCCATGCATGTACACTATCACTTTCTTCTGCCGACTTTGTTTTGCTTCTGGTCAGATCCAGTCCCAGATCCCACTTCTTGGTGGAATCCTGCTAGCTTTCCCCACAGAAAGGTGATTTCTTCAGAGAGAACTCAACAGCTCAGTTTACTGAATTTCATCCGTGACTTAAAATAAGGGCATCTGAGGCACTTACGTGTGAAACACCAGAGCAATGACATAATCCGGTGAGACGGTCAGCTTCCAATCACACTCTTTTCCTGGAGGGTAAGGCTCTGGGTAACTGGGGGACAAGATAACCCCCGAAGGCCCTGCCAGGATCCCACCACAAGGTGCTAAAGGAGGAGAGGAGAGAGCAGAACCATAGCTTGTTTTGTACACTCTCTTTTGAAAGACTCCTCAGACAACCTATGCATGCATTTAGGACAAATTAAGGCTTTAAACCTGAGGCAGTCTAAGACTGTGTCTTCGCTTGCATTTAACCATGGCTTGTGCAGCGAAGTGAGAATACTTTCAAACTTTATTCCCCACACCCCCCCAAAATCTCCCTTCACTTCTGCTTTGCTTGAGAAAATGCATGGCTAGCTTAACCAATTTTCATAAAATTATGCAAAGCTTGTCCCCATTCCTGACACACCCTGATAACTTGCTGATGGTCTGTGAACCTTGGACTAAATTACAGGCCATTTTTTTTTTGTAAAAATGACACTAAAACTTTTTTTTGTTGTTGCTTACTTTGAAGTTAATTTCATTGTGCTTTTTACATGACATACACCCAAGTTTTGAAAGCAGGTACACATGTACGTGCACACGCCTTTGAGTCAGTTTTGGCTCCTGGCAACTGCTTGGATAAGTCTTAGCAATTTTCTTGGCAACATTTTCAGAAGTTTTTGTCCTTGCCTCCTTCCTAGGGCTGAGAGAAAGTGACCGGCTCAAAGTCACCCAGGCTTTGTGCCTAAGCAAAGACTAGAACTCACAGTCTCCCAGTTCCTAGTCAACCACTACCAAACTAACTCTTTTTTCCAGTTCTACTCCTCAGCTTAAGCATATAACTAAATCCAGATAAGCTTAACGAGGCTTCAAAACTAGAAATTAGCTCATTCATAAAAAGGGTATGCTTGTATGTAAATATTATATTTATATAAATATTGATTTTTTTTATAAAAAAGAGCAACTTTTACCCAAAATCAGGCAAAGCAGGCAGGCAGATTGAGTTGCTCACAGAATCACAGATTCATTCAGAAATCTATCTATCTACCATTGGCTAGCTCAGCCTGTCACATAAAATTTGCTTGCAAGCAAACTCACAAAATTAACTCACAACACACCATGCATGTAAATATTGAATTTTTTATTAAAAAAAAGCAACTTTGATCCAAAATCAGGCAAAGCAGGCAGATTGAGTTGCTCACAGAATCATTCAGTGGTCTATCTATCTGCCATCGGCTAGCTCAGTCTCTCAAATTTGCTTGCAGTGAGTCTGCACTGAATTTGCTTGCAAGCAAACCTTCAGTCCTAAGAGAGGTTCGGCTGTGCTTAGCTAGAAAGCAAGAAATCCAACCATTTCCTGCTTCCTAGCTAATCTAAATCTCCTGGCACAGCAGAACAGATGATGGTCGGAAAAAGGAAAAATAGCAACTTAGCAGACAAGTTTACCTGGTAAGGAGTGAGTGGGCGGGAAGGGTTTCCACGGGCCCTGTGGGCTGAGCAGCCTTGTTTCTGCGCAGCCTGGATTAATTGTTTTTTGGGGGTACTCTGGGGGTGAGATTTCTCTGCGGCCTACCATTTCTCATGGCCCACCAGTGGGCCGCAGCCCACCGGTTGGCGACCACCGGCCTAAAGAATATAAATCTCCATCCTGATGGAACTGTTCACATCCAGTTACCCATTTCCCACTCTGCTAGGGATGTATCATGTTATTAAGTTGCTCGCCTTAAAATAAAGAAGCCCAAGACTGCCTTCCACTAAAACAGGGCTCCCCAAATTTGGCAACTTTAAGACTTGTGGATTTCAGCTTCCAGAATTCCCTAGCCAGCCATGCAAATGGCTGGGAGTTGGTCCATAAGCCTTAAAGTTGCTGAGTTTGGAGATCCCTTCACTAAAAGAAGAGAAACAACATTGGAGTGGGACAGAAAACATATTCTTAAGTTAGTTTACAAAAGGAATATATTTCACTCTATTTTCCTTGATTGGGACCACCGAAGGGCTACTCTGTATCCCATCCTAGAAGTTGCTTAGATGTCTCCTCTATCACTCTAAAAGTACCTTCTGCTTAACACTGACTCTTAACACAGGAGAGGGAAAAGGGCAAAGTGCCCCAGCATAACCAATTCAATATCTGAACCTTAAGAAGGAAAGCTTTGATCAGATGACAGTCTCATTTGCTCCAATTTGCAACCATGGGTCTGTTCTAGCCCCACATTTTCAGCTCCCTGCTACAGTTTCTGTACCTATGCAAGTGGGCGGGTCAGGCTGCCAGAAGAACCTGTTCTCGATCTGCACACAGCTGATCTTGGCATCACCCTGCAAGGTGTATCCTGGATCACACTGGAAAATAATGTTGTCTCCTGCCTCCTTGCTGTCTCCGCTCCGGCTCCCATTCTGTGGGATCCCAGGATCATTGCAGGAAGTGGCAGTGGACACTAAGAACAAAAAGTCAGGGAAAGGGATGAACCAAGGGAACAATTATTCATTGATATATTTTTTTTCCAATTAGTCCATAAACTCTGAAGCTATGGCATGACATTCATGGTGAGCATAGTACACTGCATTTCCTGGAGGAGCTCGGGATTCGAATAGCAGCCATCTTGCATATAATTAGAGCAAGGATGGCTTCGGAGGGAAACAAAGCAGAAAGCACCAAACAAAGAAGGCAATATGGAATCCACCAAGTCCATCATTGTCCATCATGGAGGACAATGCTAATGGTGTAACTGGTGGCATCTCACATGGTCTCATTTTCCTCTCTTCCACTGCAGCATTTTGGATGATGCCATGAGTGTTCTTCAGTCATCAAAAAGAATACAGGAAGACAGATATTGATATTTGTAAGCAGTTTAATTTCATTTGAATGGCTAAATTAGGCCAGGTATGCTTAACTGCAGATGAACACAGGAATAGTAAGACATGACTCCCTGTGTTTCTATCTTTCAAGTAAATTCCAAAGGAAAAGATCAAAAGGAACACTTCCAAGAAGGCTTTTCAGGAGCTATGCTGTTCTAAGACCATATGATGGAGTTTTGCACTTAAGAAATCGGGAAATTTTTCCTGGAGAAATTCAGTGCAATTGTCCATCCAATCTTTTTGCCCAGTCCTTCAGAAGTTCAGAGCTTCAGAAGGCCATGGGCATCCATCTGTAATTCAAAGCGGTTTGTGCATATTTCCTTATATTCCCTTTACTGCTACCCTATGAGGTCACTCAGAAATTTGTTCCTGGCCAAGCTACAATTTCTTCTTTGAAATACAATGCTAGTTTTAGCTAATAAATCATATAAGCTTTTTTCCATCTTCAAACATTCTGTAGAAGTCTATTTTTTGCTGGCTGAATCAGCATTTAAGAAAAACAATGCAATCCTGCTTACTTCACAAAGCCACATATATCTACAAAGAGCTATTAGCAGATATTACTTTAGGATCAACCAAAACTCTTTAGGCAAGGTATAAAGCAGTGGGCGGACAGAAGGAAAAAAATTAGGGCAAAATTAAGACAGATTAGAGACAGCAAGTCATCAAATGGAGGTTGTGCACTAAATATCTTAATATTAAGATATAATATTATATAATATAATATAATAGCAGAGATATAATATTAATAATATTTAATATTAATATTTAATATTAGTATTACCAGTACCAGGCTCTATGGTCCAAGCAAATAGAATAGCAATAGCACTTAGAGTTATATACCACTTCATTATGCTTTACAGCCCTCTCTAAGCAGTTTACAGTCTCAGCATATTACCCTCAATAATCTGAGTCCTCATTTTACTGACCTTGGAAGGATGGAAGGTTGAGTCAACCTTGAGTCAGTGAGAATCAAATTGCCAAACTGCTGGCAATCAGCAGTCAGCAGAATTAGCCGGCAATACTGTATTCTAACTACTGCACCACCATGGTTACTATCACCTTCTGAAAACATAAAGTGTGTTAATTCCCTATTTTTCTCCAAACTGGTCAAAACACAAAGGATCCTGGGTTTACATCATTGTCACTATTTTTCAGACCACAAAACTAGAAAAGAAACATCTGCAGATACTCCTTACTTAATACATTGGGTTAGGAATCTCAGTTGTTGGGTAAAACAGTCATTAAGGGAGATGCCTACATGACTCCTTTGCTCAACAACCACAATCCCAGCATTCCCAATTGTGGTTGTTAAATAATCATCCAGATTGTCAAATGGACAAAGCAAGAGAGCTGCCTGTGGGCAGCAGCTTTTTGAGAGGGAAAGAGCTGCCTGACAGAGGGTTTCAGCTCTGCATAAAGCTGAAATCCTCCCAGCTGATAGCTCTTTTGCTCTCAAATGTTCTTGCCATGTGCCAAAGAATTTCAGCTTTCCTCTGTTCAAGGAGGGGCAATCCTTCAGGAGGCTGCAGGAATCCATCCCTCCATCCCCTCCACTTGCAACTGTTCCTGTTGGCTTCCCCACTGACTTCTTAGGGAAGCCAGCAGAGAAGACTGTGAACAATGATCACATCATTGCAGGGCACTTTGCAAATAGCTGCAAATGAGAGATGGCTGCCAAGCACCTGAAATGTGGTCATGTAACCATGGGGTGGAGTGGCACAGTGTTTTATGACAGCCAGAAAGGAACGTTCCAAGCCTGTCAACAATGTGAACAGTCAATTGGTTATAAGTCAAGGACTACCTGTGTGTTAAATGGTCTAATAAGTGAGGTGGTAGCAGCCAAGTAGCTAAAACATATCAAATGCTCATGAAAACTCCCTCTCGTAAGGCACTGATACTTAATGCAGTGTATTTTGCAAGTGTTTTAGGATTATTTGCATCATTATAGCCCGGGGGTGGAAACCCTGACAATGAGAAAAGACTTTGCACATGCACAAACTTCCTTTGAGCTACAGTGAGCACACATATGGAAGAATTGGAGCAGGATGCATGCTTAAACACATATTACTGATTTCAAACTTTTCTTTCTCCAGCTGGAAAAGGCTGTAGGGATTAACAAATCTAAGTCTGTTGCATGAAGATCAGATGTATGTATATTTCAGCACACTTTCCCCTTTGCTTATTACATCTTATTACATCTAACCATCTGTTAATTTTACCTGGCATTCAGCTATAAGCCTATGATGTCTATGCTATCCAATAAATTATAATGTGGACGTTGTCTTCCTCCCCTCCTCCTACACCTTGTGACTGAGAGAATTCTGCTTTTAGCAGAAATGGTAGGTTCAATTCTTTTACAGATGTATCAGGGTGTCTTGAATGCTGTCTAAAATGCTGTCTTCCTTTTCTTTTTAAAGCTCAGGGGTTTAAAATAAGTAGTTTTTAATAGAAAAGTCTGATATTTTTTTAAAGCAATAAAACTAGAGTAGCGATCACTAGAATAGCAGTGGAAGAAAAATAGAGTCAGATGGGACCAATTCAATTAAAGCTGCTGATGGAGAAACAAGACTTTTTTTTTTTTTTTGGCGACCAGTATGTCTAATTCTAGAACTTATCAAACCTTTGCCAAAATGTGGACAGTGAAAATGGGTTACTAGAAAGTTCTTGCCAATAATTTGGTTCTTCATTTGCAGATAAATGCACTTGGCTTTATCTTGATCTAGATTCTGACACAAATGCAGCTGAGATAAATCAATGTATATCTGCAGATTTTTTTTCAGTATGTATAATTCACAGATCATAGGTCAACAAAGAAGCAAATATTGGCTTCATGAATGAACAAACCAACCAGAATGATAGTATCTAGTCCAGTATTTTTCAAGCTTGGCAACTTAGTAGCATGTATTTGAGAATGCTGGATGGGGAATTCTTGGAATTGAAGTCTGGATATCTTAAAGTTGCTGAGGTTGAGAAACACTGGTCTAGTCCCTGGAAAATGAACCCTCACTCCAGGAAGAAAAGGAAGATCTGGTTAAGCAATAGGTACTCTGACTCCAGGGGCCTGCACTTCAGTTTCATTGGCTTTTAGTCTGTTGATTCTGACACCCACAGTCTCGGCCTCATTTCTTACAAAAACCAGTGCTGTTTGTTATTGTAGTCACTGTTCAACTATTTCTTTCATAATATTTTTATCCATTCATCTATCCATCCAAATACCTCACTAACACTTGGCTCTATTGCTATTTTTTTTAAATCTAATTTCTAGAAAGAAGCTATTTTGCTTATATTTTTCCTAAGACAGATAATGGGCAGGAACCCTTTGAGGCAATTTAAAATGCTGATGATTAGTCATCATTCTGGCCTGAGAATTGCAGTGCAGCCTGTTCTGAAATGTCTTTTGCTCCACTGAAAAATTAGCTTGCAGGGTATTTCTTGGGCTCTGTGCTTTCCCAAGATCTTCAGTAACAAGTCAGTAACAAGTCGGACATTTGATTAACCCCACTAGTTTTGTAGCTATAAATCTTTCAGCATTAGTTGGATGGAAGCAATTATCCCCCTACCTTGACTCTGTATTTTTTTTTCCTTCTGTTAAATTGCGTCCAATTCTCAGTTTTCCCTGCAGTTTTCTTGATGAGTTTTTTCAGAAGTGGTTTTGTCATTGCCTCCTTTTTAGGGCTGAGAGAAAACGACTAGCCCAAGGTCGTTCAGCTGTTTTTGTGCCGGAGGCAAGGCTCCCAGCCTCTGGCTTCTGGCTTGATGCTTTAACCACAAACTGGAGTACCTTAACCACTATCTCATAGATTGGTTCAATTTGTTATACGTAGGACGAGGAAGGTTTTAAAACTTCTGTTAATGCAAATGTGGCAGAGAAAGTGGTTGTTTGCTAAGTTCAGTTCAGAAATTGGTCTTAACCTTTAAAGCATTGGATGGCTTAAGGCTTGACTATGTTAGGGACAACATATTATATTGCAAGCCTGCTGAAGTATTAAAATATGCAGAAATGATCCCTTTGAAGAGCCCTCTGGTGCAATGGCTTAGTTCACTGGAAGGGTTTCCCAAAGTATGGAATGCTTTAATCCTCCAGCTTTGGTTGCTCTCTTAATCTTTTGGTTTAAAAAAATACACATAAAGGCATATCTATTTGGCCTTTCCAAATGTCAGTTTTAGTTTTAGTGTTCTTTTAATATTTAACATTAAATATGTCAATGTAGGATATTAAATAATGTTAAATATTAAGATTATTTAAATAGTCTTGGTACAAATATTATATCATGCATCTCCAGCCATTCTGTTCCACAATTATGTTGCTATTCTGGATCAACTATATATAGAGAACAGCTGCCTCAGTGGTCCTTTGCATCCTCCACTAAATCTCTGAGTGGAGAATGGATGGTTTCTCTGAATTTCTCCAGAAGGAGAAGAAACTCTCCATTAATTTCTCAAGGACTTCGCCTTGGGAATGATGCTAACACCAGAAAAGGTCAATGTAAATCTCCCTGAGATTTAAATGTGAGAAACAAGCAAGCTGCACACCTTTGGAGAGAGGACAGCAAAGTGAAAAGCTAGATCAATCATGCCTACTCACTTAGCTTTTCATCACTAAAAATGCAATGCTATATTCCAGGAGTGTCAAACTCATGTTGTTACAGTGGCATCACATGATGTATTGGGACTTTTTCCCCCTTCACTAAACCAGGTGTGTTTGACAGGCCTGCTATATGCTATCTGAGAGACTTTCTTTAAAATTCCCTTCCTCCTTTTAAATCACTTCTAGTGCAAATTCTTGTTCACCCAATTGCATGACTATTGAGAGAAAAATTGCTGAGGAATTGAGAGAAAAATTGCTGAGGAATTGGTATGTTATGAATGCTGAAATTAATAAATTTGGGGGTTATGTTTTACACAGGTTACCAGGCAGAGTTGTAGAGAGCTGAAAACATTTATGAAATTGTCATCCTGTTTTAATCCTCCGGAGCCCACAGACCAGATGACACCTGTGAAAGTTACCTGAAAACTGAATGGCAAAGCCCTGTTTACTGGTGAAAAAGTCCGTGTTGAACTGAAGGACCACCAAGTTGAAGGTGCTGTGAACGTCACTGGGCAAGACAGAACCACTAACTTCTTTCAGGAGGATGCTCTTCTCCACTGGCCCATCCCAGATTCTCAAAACATCATGAAAGTCCTCTGTATGGAAAACTATGAAATGGAGCCTGTATTTGGGGGAGGGCAAAACAGGACGGGGAACAGAAAGAACAGCTACAAATAAGACTAGATTTGTGTTTTAGAATTGGGAAAGTTTAGAAAAGAAAGGGCTGGAGGAAGGTAACATTACAACATTCTTCAGGTACCAAACAAGGATCATCTAGAAATGAGAAGGCAGGTAACATCTTTTTAAGATTAATAACTTTTATTCATAAGACAAGTGTGTACAGATAGTCCTCAACTTGCACGATTCATTTAGTGGCTGTTCAAAGTTACAGTGGCCCTGAAAAGAATGTTTTATGACCATTTTTCACAGTTATATCCTTAAGAGCATCCCCAAATTCAGACATTTGGTAACTGGCATGTATTTATGAGAGTTGCAGTGTCCCAGGGTCATGAGATCACGATATGTGAATTTCTGATAAGCAAAATCAATGGAGAAGCCAGATTCACTTAGTAACCATGTAACAACTGCAGTAATTCACAACATCTGTGTCAAGAAAGGTCATAAAATGGGGCAAAACTCATTTAACAACTGTCTTGTTTAGCAACAGAAATGTTGGGCTCAATTGTGGTTGTAAGTTGAGGACGACATATATGATTTTTAATAATATATATTGGTCTGTAAAGGCGCCACCAGATTCCTTCTGATTTTGATCTGACTCCAAAGTAACACAAGTTTCTCACTGCAATCTCAGAAAGAAGCTGAATCCTGTTTTCATTCATTCCGGGCAGAGAATAATGGATATACATTATAAAGAGGGCAATTGTGACTGAATGTTAGGGGGGGGAAAAATCCCAATTAAAAAAAAAACACTTGGCAAAGAAAACAATCCCTAAGGAGGTAGTGAATTCCTTCTCATTGGATTGGTTGAAGGAGAGACTAGATAATCAATGATTAGGGATTTTTTTTAAAATAAAGTTTTATTTGGGTTTTCACACATACAAAATACAAGTAAAACATCTTTTTTGAAAATAGCATGGTCCCGGGTTGAACTTCTTTATACAGACACAAAACTCAATTTCATGCTCCTTTTTGTATTCTATTCCATATCTTATACTATTTTACATTTTCTATATAGTTTTTCCCCTCTCTTAATTTTCTCAATTTTATTTTGATTATCTCATCTCAATTCAAATCATTATATTTATACTTTTGTCTGTTCTGTTTCAATTTCATATTATCTTTTCTCATTAGACAAATTTTCTCCTGTAGTTACTAATAGGAGTATGACACCTTTATATCTTTTAATTACCGTATTTGCCGGCGTATAAGACGACTGGGCGTATAAGACGACCCCCCCACTTGGAGGCATGTTTTTCAGGGCAAAAAAGTCACCTTATACGCCGGCAAATACGGTAACTAATCATCTAATATTTACACAGTGTGTATGTTATTCTGTGTTGGGAGTGAAGGATGTTTGAACTCTCTTAGATGGACTGTCTAAAGGAGCGTGTCTTGGAGTAGGCAGGCGTTACTCCAGAACCCTGGCCCTTCCCGGCGGAGTCCCTCGGGCTTTCCCGCAACAGAGTCCTCTTGCAACGCGTCCGCTAGGTCAGCCAAATGATCCCGGCGGGGTCACCGGAAACGCCCTCCAGAAATCCCGGGGGCTGCAGTGGCAGGGCAGAGTGCCAGGGGCTGTGGGAGGAGGAGGAAGGTGGGCAGCCTTCACATGGCCCTGCCTGGGGCGACAGGAGCGACCCACGCTCTCGCTCCCCCCAGTCGCTGCAGCCTTGGGCGGAGCGAGGCGAGCGGGATTCGAACCTGATTCAGAGATGCGGGGAGGCTCTTGGCGGAAGTGACACGGGGGATCTGGGAAGCCAGAGGCGCCTTCGCTGTGTCCCACAAACATCTGAAAGCCGGCAGTGGATATACCGTATTTGCCGGCGTATAAGACGACCCCCCCACTTGGAGGCATGTTTTTCAGGGCAAAAAAGTCATCTTATACGCCGGCAAATACGGTACATCCATTCAATTCTTATTTAAACTTCAATATATACCTTAAGTTTATGACCTTCAATATAATACATAATACATAACTTCCAATCGAATTCTGCTTGGTACATTCTTATAATACACACTATATTCTTTAAACAAAATTATAAATACATGTAATTATAAACCCTCATTCCATTCCAATTCAGTTCTATCGTTAATAATCATTAAAATCTTAACATCTTTAACACTTCTTTTCAATTAAATATCATAGTTCCTTAAAGACACATATAATCTCCATAATTAATTTTTCCCTTATTTCTCTTCACATATGTTTTGTAAATAATTAAATATTCATTTTGTTACATTTATTTATTGACAAGCATTCCACTGAATTACGATAGCTATTTTATCAGACATTTTAATCATACATTGTTTCATATTTTCTAAAATTATTTCTGCTTCTAATATAACCATACTATCTTATGTACCTTTGCAGAATCCCTTTTTCCATTAAGTTTTCACCCATTATCTCTAAATAGGCCCTGTTTCTCTATATTTTGCTTCTGTCCTTTATAACTTCTTTTCCTTTCTTTCTTCCCTCTCATCTTCTCCCTCCCCTTTTTACCCCCTTGTCTCTCTAGTTCTAATTCTCTCTTCTGCATTTCCCTCTTCTGTTGCTTTCTGATTTTATACTTATTTTTCACTCTATTTTTTTTTGGAGTTGTTTTTCCCAATCTTAAACTTTCCATTCTCTTTCCCCGCTTTCCTTCCCCCCCCCCCACCTAAGATTACTTGTTCATTAAAGATGGCTTCTTCTTTGTTGCAATCTTCTTGTTCTGCAGGCATTTCTTGTTGTTTCTCATAATTCCAAATCTCCATTTCTAAAAACTGAAATATTAAGCCAAAAGAACCTCTCTCTTCTTGTGCATCTTCTTTTCAAGTTCCATTTTCAGTTCTTCTAAAAGTGGAGCCATTTTAAACAGTTTTAAACAACCACTCAATTGATTTTAGTCATTCAAAACAATAACCAAGAATCCAGAAATCATCAAGTAATCCAGATAGTCCCGAGTTATATCTTCTTATTTCTTTTTCGACTTTCTTTTCCTGGGGTTTTTGTTGTGATATTTCAGTTAGAATGTATCTTTTGGAAGTCTTGTTGAGATTTTGCTGTAAGTTCTTTTTTAATTCCAGGCAGTCTCCTCCCTTCCAGATCCTACCCTTTAATTCTTTTTCTCTCCTTTCCTGTTTTCAAAAGCTTTTAATTATCCAGAAATCTTTATTATCCCTTTGACTTCTTATTTTCAGCATTAAATGCCTATTGATGTCAAAGTGGATTTTTTTCCAATTTCTTGCTTAAGTCTCTTAGCTGTCAGTATAGGAAAAGGAGAAAACCAACTCTTTTCCTTTTTCTCTCTCCTTCGCAGCTTAAAAAAATCTTCTTAGTGAACAATGTTATTGTTTTTTAACAGTTTCAATTCCAGGGTACCTTATTTGTTGCTTTTGCTGTTTGACCCGGTCAACCAAATCTTTCTCCTCTTATCTTTCTCCTGCACATTCTTTTCTGGTCGAGTTCTTCTTTGTGGTGGCCATTTCTGACCACCGCTGCAACCGCCTTTGGGAAAGGGAGTAATGGCCAGCTGGGGAGGAGAGATGCGGTTCTCCTCAACCCTGCTGGCAGTCTCCCCCATCTTCACCACCTCTATGGGGTGGCTTAGCCCCGAAACCAGCCGGCTCGTGGCGCTCAAGCAGCGAACATGGATCGAAGCCTCGCAGAGACGAGGTTTCGGTCTGTCGCTGAAGAAGCTCAAACCGGAAGTCCAATGATTAGGGATTTTTTAAAATTTAGTTTGCTAAACTGAAGAGGAAGTTGACTTAAGTATCTTCCCCAATTCTAAGATTTTAAAATTCCTCCCAAAGATTTGGGAACTGCAGTTTAACTCGAGAGATTGAGGACTCAGTTACAAATCTAGTCCCTTCTATGTCACTCTGCCATTTCTCTTCAGTTTCCATGTGGAGAAAAGCTGGTCATTTCATGAGATTAGATTTGTAGAAAAGACACCAATACACGATTGCTTGGAGGAAATGAAGCTTGAAAATAGTATCATTTAGAGATGCAGAAAATCATAGACTTGTTATGAAAGGGAAGGAATAACTGAGCGGGTAGAAACAAATTCATTTCAGATAAATTCTCAGTGAAAAAATGATTTTAGACCAAGGTGATGCTAGAGTGAAAAGGAGATATTTTTAGAGGTTCTCTATAACATGTGCCGAATTGAACAGCACTTCTATTTTTTTTCTTTTTCTTTATCACTGGTTCCCCTCTCGCTTTATGGTAGGCAGTGACAGCAGCATGAAGCTTTTAATATTTTAATTCCATCTTCATGATAATAGGTATGATGGTGATGCATTATAAATGTTGGAGAACTGCATGGTTATTAATTGACTGAGTTTTAGAGTGGGCTGCCCCTCTGGCTTTTTATTTAATATGCCTGTTACATTTATATTAGCATAAACATTTGTACTGAAGAGGCAATAAAAGATTGATAGACTGTACTAGAGGAAGAATGGGAATACTGCGTTAAAAGACCCGAGCGATGTGCTTTTTTTAAATAGTTGCCAAAGCTGCTGACTTGTTGCTTATTTCCTTGACATTTCACAAAATGTGTTCTAATGAGGGAAATTGCAATTCTTCCATAGATTATTTGCAGCCCTCTCCAACTAAGTAAGTACAGTTGTATTGGTTAAGGATGACCGAATACTTTTTTTTTCTTTTTTGGAGAAGAAAATCCAGAAAAGGCAAAATTATGTCATCTATAATAGCAATCAACTGTCATTTTCATTCCTCCAAACAACTTTATTTACTTCTAATTTGTGAAGCTCAAAACTTAGCTGCCCTGCTATATGAAGTCATAAATCAACAACTGCTTTGAAAAGATTAACCTTCAACTGCATCTTCAAAAACATTTTGTCTTTGTGTGGCGGGGATAGGTAATGAATGCCAAAAAATAGAATCTGGTGCCCATAAGAAAAAAAAAAACTTAAACTTAAGACCCTGGAGGTCTGCAAAATCTTTTTCAGAATAACCCTAAATCAGGAGCAAGATATCTGTGGCCTTTCACATGTTGATGTTATCCAAATCTGGATTTATGGTTAATGATGGGAATAAAATCACTGTATACCAATAAATAACATTTAGAAGCTCTCCAAGTTCTCCATTCCTTTCCTAAACTTACGTAGGTTAGAGACTAGCAGGTATGTATGGGCAGAAACATTGAGGGGAATTAGGGGTGGGGGAAGAGCCGATCGTGTCATTTTGCATGCTTATATGCATGTGGAATTAGAAGTTGGGAACAGCTAATGGCTTGGTTTCTCCCCCCCCCCCCATTGATTAAGTCTTAAGATGCATTCAGAAAAGCAGATTTTAATTGAGTTCTCAATTTGAAATATAAATTAAATCATGCTAATTGCTGCTGAACAGATATTTTCTTAGTGGGGTCTTTGCTGGTCTCTGAGCTTGGTTCTTTTCTTGTACATATTTCATAGCTCAACTAGTTACACTCGGGTCATTAAACGTCTGCAAGACAACAGCCAAGTTCAGAGAGCACCAAAGACCCCACAGTTCAATCCTGAACTACAAATGATTCCCTCCATTGGTATCTTCCTACTCTTTTACATTCTTGGAAAAAAATGTTTCATTATTTCAAATGGCCTTCCCTAATCTCATTTGATTGATACCTGGTGGACCAGAATCTTCAGAATTCTGAGCAAACCTGAGCAATATTATGTCTACAGAAAGAAATGAGTCAGTTTTCAGAAAGCTTAAAAAACTTCCTTGTTTTAACACTCTGTGCTGTATTATTTTAATACCATTTTAAGATTGATTTTATGCTGTTCCTCTTTAAAATTCTATCCCCTTAAGCTTCCCAGGGCCATTAAGGAACCAGGAAGCATAAAAATACATCAATTAAATAAATAATCAAAGGCTACATGATTACTGAACAGTTCAGAAGTGCTCACATACATGGAAGCTCATGATGAGGTTTCCCAAAATGTTTTCTATAGAGATATGGGTACAAAAAGAAAGAGTTCCATTTGTCCTATTAATGGGATGCCCACATTGTTAGAGAATTCCAGCAACCCGATCACATCTGAAGTGTTGTACGTAATTTAAAGCGTCAAAGGGTTTGTGGTGGAATGTACTCTGGATTCCCAAGAGGGAGGGGCTGCGTTCCATAGGAGCAAGAAAAAGTGCAAAAGAGCAACTAAGATGATTAAAGGTCTGGAAGCTAAAACATATGAAGAATGATTGGAGGATTTGGGTTTGGAAACTGCTTAGAAAAAAGCAGTGTGTCTTTCTTGATTTTCGGAGTCTGATAGGGACATACATTCTTAAGTTTAAGCTTTGATTCCTCTTTGTGAACCTCCAACATGGATGAAGAAAGAAATTTGGAGAGAAGGAGAGCAAGTTAGACCATGCAAATAAATGGAAATTTGGGGGTGGGGGAATGATAGTTTACACTGTTGCAATGTAAACATTGTCCCTTTCATAGGGGCACTGTGATATTTTACATATGTATATAAGGGAAAGAGTTTGTACCAGAACATCACAATGCACTCTCATCAAATCACTCTCATCAAATCACTCTCATCAAATCTCTGAACTTAGAGAGAGAAGAAGAGGCTTTGAGAGCAGGAGGAAGAGCTTCTGCCAACACATTGGTCAGATAAAAAGGCCCTTACTTCCGAGCAAGAATGTAATGTGACTAAACGTCTCAGACAAGTTCTTCCCAAATTTACACCATTATGGTGGGAGGGAGGAGGGAAGTACATTCAGACTTGCAAAATTGTTACTATAGCTTTACAGGAAAGGTAGTATTGACCTACGTGGTGTTGGCTTCCTAGTCTCATGTATCTGATAGGATTCTTTGGCAGGTAATTCAAGAGAGGGCCAAGCACTTTCATTCTGTTTAGCAACATTTTTTTTCCCAAATTGCATCCTTGAAAGCTGTCAAAGCTGTCATCCATTACATAGTTCAGGCTGGAATTATACTGTTTGGGTTCGGATGTTCTCTTCTAAGCTCTTCAAAAAGGATTTCGCATCTCTCTGGCAGCAATCAATGTTCTAAATGCATTTGAAGCTGTGCAGGTATGAATGTGATTAATACCTGAGAGCAGAGAAGCGCCTATGAGAGTGTTAGAACTTCAGGCATTTCTTTCTATTTCCCTATTCTCTATTGCTACGATGCACTAAATCCAATCTGTCTCCAAATATTACAGTCGACCAATTAAAATTAGGACATCTATCCTGATTAATTCACAAATCTTATTTTTTAAAAATGTATGGTTGATTAATTTGCTGATTATGAAGCTTGAGCCCTACTTTTTATCCTTCTCCTATTGATGCCAAATAGTAAACACTAAGGTATGCAAAGCAAGAGAAATCATGCAAATGTGATCAATTTGCATAATTCAAACAGGTTGTAGAACTCAGCTAATCCTGCCAAGAGTTGGGGTTATTTTGACACAGGCATTTTCATGCATCTATTTATTTATTTTTAATTGCAGAGTAGAAATGGTCCTGCGTAGAAACACCTGTGCCCTGTTCACACACCACAACATAATTGATTCAAAAACCACAGTGACAGGATGAGTGCTGGATGTTGTGGGGGTGTTGATGATCTAACCTTTTCCAGTCTTTGAACTTACCCTATTGTGCAACCAGCTTCTGCTTCAATTGTCCAGACACAGTTGAGATTGTGATCATAGGGTGTTGGAAACCCTGGAGATAGGATCCTTCCTGAAGACTCACCTCGCATGCTGCCCCCACACTCAGCTGAAAGAAACCACAAACCAATTCAGCAACTGAACTCTATAAACATCCTTTGCTTCTTCCTTTGAAGAAGGCTTCACTGAAATCCACAGATCTTACATTGCCATGATTGAGAAACACTGATCCAGTTTGCACAATTTCTGATCCATTTGAACAATTTCCAAATATTAAGTATTTGGTGACTTAGCATGTTGGACAATACAGATCATCTGATTACTTATGTTTCTATGTACTGTATCAGGCAATGTAGAGAAAGTGTGAACTTAGCCACCTTAAAGTAGTTTCATGTATTGTGTGAATACAGCTATTTTCTAGGAAGGGAATCAATTTTAAAACTATATCTATTCAATCTGTTCATCTATAGCTACTGGGACTCTATTTTCTTGGGGGAAAAATAAAGGCAAACATTAAAAGGGGCAAACCTGAAAGAGGTTCATAAGGATGATTTTTATTAATTGTTTGTGTTTACACAGTTACTATACCAATAAAAATTCAAGAGCAAAACCAAGAAAAACTTTATGAGAATGCATATTTTAATAAAAGTTATGTGTCTGAAATAAAGGACTGTCCTTTATAATAAAGGATATATGGTCACTCTAACTTTAGCTCTGTAATTTTCCTTTTAGTCTGTCCTTTCTTTTTAGGACATTTAGATATAGGTAGTCCTCAGCATATGACTACAATTGAGCCCAACATTTCTGTCATTAAGCGAGACATTTGTTCAGTGAGCTTTGCCCAATTTTATGACCTTTCTTGCCATAATGGTTAAGTGAATCACTGCAACTGATAAACAGGTAATCCAGTTGTTAAGTGAATTTGGCTTCCCCATTGACTTTGCTTGTCAGAAGGTCACAAAAGGTGATCACAGAACCTCAGTCATAAATATGAGTCAGTTGCCAAGCATCTGAATTTTGATCACATGATCATGAGAATGTTTCAATTGTCATAAGTGTGAAAAACGGTCATAAGTTACTTTTTCAGTGCCATTGTAACTTTGAACAGTCACTAAATAAACGGCTATAAGTTGAGGACTATCTATATAGTATTCCTTCGACAATAGCTTTTTCTAAACATGTTTGCTGCAAATACACAGGCATTTCTGAACCCACATGTAGATTTGAGAATAGAGAAAGCAGCAGATAACTCCCCCCACCGCCTTTTTGGCTCAAAATCAGCAACTGGAAAACTAAACAGACATTAATCTTATCTGTGCACAAAGGAAAACGTATTAAACTAATAACAAGAGGCTTCCAAATGTTTGTTGGTTGGAGGATCCATTAATAACAATGTCACTAATATACCTTTTCTTCTTTCTCCCCCCCCCCCCCACCTTAGCTGTTGTTGCAAAAGATACCAACAGCAAATGACCTGGCAACTGATCATGTTACATCTTCCACAGTGCCAAGGACTTTGTGCTATTATGGCACCATGCATGGCAATCACCATTTGCTCCACACACCCCAAATGGTGGAAGATATACTGTAGGGAGAAAATTGCCTTTTTTGTTGTTATTTTGTTTAGAATAGAGTGACTTCAGAAACTTAAGAAAACCCCTTTCTTCCCCCCAAAAGTATGCCATATCAAAATCCCCTATTCCAGTCCCAAAAGTGCTTTTTCAAGAGGCAACTGGACTTTCTGGTTTTTCTTTGAAGACTTTGGGTTCACATCCAAGAAACTGCTTCAGCTCTGACTGGATGGTGGGGAATGGAAGGATTTATGCTCCTTGCAGACAACTGGTCATTTGCATTCGTTTAGCAAGTTGTTGAGGCCACCTGGAGGTTTATCAGGGTCATTCAATCAGGGCTGAAGAAGCTTCTTGGGTGAGAAGCAAAACATCTTCAAAAAAAACCTCCCAAAATCCAGTTGCCTCTTGAAAAAGCACTTTTGAGAAAAAGCATTTTTGAAAAAAGCACTTGAAATGTCAACCATGACTTGGATAATTGAGAATCTCCATAGACATTTAGTTACACCTATTTTAGTATTTTCCAACCTCAGCCATTTTAAGATGTGTGGATTCCAACTCCTATGATATCCCAGGTAGCATTGTTGGCTGGGGTATTCTGGGAGTTGAAGTCCACACATCTTAAAATGACTTATTCAGACAGCTAAGTAACAGAAGGCTGAAATTCCACTCTAAGGCAAAATTCTGAAAGCAGAATTGAAACCAAGACAATTCTTGATGCTCATTCATTGCCAGACAGTGAGAACATGACATGGCAACAAAAGGACGTCTTGATTTGTGCCCTCAATGTGTACTAAAAGAGAGAAACAGACCGCATCTTATATTGATTGACTCATTAGCTTGAAGGTTATTGGGAAAACAGTAGTACAAATGCTGGAAAGGAAATTGTAGGAGTTAAAGCTATTGCGTGCATTTGGATAGATGAAAAGGATTGATAGGTAATCTTCTGCAGTAATCCCGCCATTGATTCTGATCCATTTGTAAAGGTGGTACTCTATGCCCCTAATTCATCCCAAGCAGCCTGCAGATTAAAACTGTTTTTGTCAGGCTCCAAGAACCAATAACCACATGTGGTTCCTTTATTCTTGTTCTCCTACAAACAATTGCAATAACTATAGATATATTTTGCGAATTGCTAGGGAGGGCCCAACATTGTTTTTTTCCTACCTACCAGACATTCTAAGTTCTGCTGCTGCTTTGCCTTCTGGGAAAAAGCCCCTCTTTCGTGCAACTCTGAACTTACATCCTAATAACTTCCCAGCTATGCATTCAATTATTTCACAATTTTATCACATTAAAAATTTAATTTCGTAAGAACGATTCACTGATTTTCCTGAAGATTCCAAGAACTATGGGTGACTTGGGACATAAAGTTACACAGCTAAATCAACTGGTTTTTGATCCCCTCAGAAGCTACGCCAAATGTTTGGGGAGTGACTACCACACAAGAGGGAGGAGCAGAGCAGGTTCTGACCAGTTCTGGAGAACCGGTGTCAGAAATTTTGAGTAGTTCAGAGAACCGGCAAATACCACTTTCTGACTGGAGATTTTACAATATCCTTCCCCTGCCACGCCCACCAAGCCACGCCCACAGAACCGGTAGTTTAAAAAATTGAATCCCACCACTGGGGAGGAGTCATACCTACGCAGGTGGGGAGAGGTTGGTCCCAGGATCTTCGCTCTCCAGTCAAGCAAGTAAGCACACGGCTTCCGCGTAATGTGTAGCCATGATCACAACTGAAAGAGACAGAACTCCCTGCAAAATGTCCTTCATCGTGGACTTTGTAGCCAAATTGTGGGATGCCAGGGTTCTCACATTTGATTAAATCAAAACCTGAAATCAGGAATAAAGGCAATTAGTTAGAAAGAAGTCTTGACTCAGCTGTTGCTTTAGCAAAACTGTCAGTGGCTGATGAAACTCCTTTAGAGACTCTTCCAGGATGTAGTGTGAGAAAGGGCATCCAAGAACATGCAACCTTGCAATCTAAAGTGTCAGGACTAAGGTGAAGCACCCAGTGAAAAAGACCCAAGGAAGTGGAGGTATTTAAGAAGTCAGAGAAAAATGCTGCAAAATAGCAAGGAATAGATTCCTCATCAAAACAGGCTTGTTATTTGCGGGTTTTGAACCTTATGGATCAATCTGATGGATTGGTTGGAAATAGATGTATTGACAGCTGTTTCTTGTGGAGGTAGTGATCTGTAATTTTTCAAAAGAGGGCTTAATAACCTGATATGAGTAGAACACTAGACATAGAAAGATAGGAAAGTGTGTGAAGATGAACACAATGATATTTACACAGACAACTTGTAAAGAAAAATGTGTTCTTACATGAAGCAGATATAAATAGTTTCGTTTTAAATGTTTAGGTATAAAAAATAAAATATCATTAAAAGATCTGGCATTAGCTTGGTTTCCACCTAGACACCCTTCATTGGCAAACTAATTTTCCTTAAATGTTTGGTTCCAAATACAACTTCTCTGTAGGAGCAGTACATAACACTGTCCTGATCCTTTTTCTCCAGCTGCAGGTTGGCAGCCTCCATACTTACTAGAAAACTGCAACTCAAAACCTTGATTTGTGCCGTTTCCATCTGTGATGAATTCAAGCCACATTGAGCTGGAAGTGCTGTTGACATTGAGACCCAACATCTCTGCACGGCTGAAGGAGCCCAGCAGGCGAGCTGAGTTATTGCTGCCATCATAAATCTTGGAAAAGAGGAGAAAACAAATATGAAGATGGATTCCCTTGTCTCTGCCCATCCGCTGATCTTGCACCCCTTGTTTCTACAAAGTCAACAGTTTTGTTCATTTGATACTCTAGTGATGGGAGGAACATTCCTCATTGTCGCATTGCAATAGCAATATAACTTAGACTTATATACCACTTCATAGTGGTTTCATAGCACCGGTAAGCAGTTTACAGAGCAGTTTACAGGGTAAACACATTGCTCCCAACAATCTGGGTCCTCATTTTACCAACATTGGAAGGATGGAAGGCTTAGACAACCTTGAGCCAGTAAGGACTGAATTCCTGGCAATGAGCTGAATTAGCCTGCAATTCTAACCACTACACCACCATGGCTCTAGTTTAAATTAATATATCTGGTTTAATGAAAATAATAACTAGGGGTAATATGATAGCAATATTCCAATATCTGAGCGATTTATTCTCCAAAGCACCTGAAGCTAGGACAAGAAGAAATGGATGGAAACTAATCATGGAGGGAACCAACCTGGAAATAAGGAGACATTCCTGACAGAACAATTAATCAGTGGAATGACTCGCCTCCAGAAATTGTGGATGTTCCAACACTGGAGGTTTTAAAGAAGAGATTGGCGAACCATTTATATAAAATGGTGTAGGATTTCCTGATTGAGCAAAGGGTTGGACTAGAAGACCTCTAAGGTCCATGAATTTTGTTATACTGTTATCCTGTCATTTTGCACCTGTTGCAATTCCTGAACAACTTTCAAGGATAGCAGTACATAAAACATATTGCTACATGCAAGATGGGTTGGGGGCAAAGTGTAGATAATGTCATCATATTCAACTGGCCAGGAAGGGCACAGAAGATCACTATGTAAAAGCATTCCTCACATCAGATCTTGCTCCTTCTGACAGAGTAGAAACATATCCAAAATAGGTTGAAGCTCAATTCTTGAGTTTAGTATCCTCTTTATCAACAACATCTTTTTTAAAATAGAGTTTTATTTGGGTTTTCACAAAACATACAAATACAAATAAAATATCTTTTTTTGAGAATAGCATGCTCCCGGGTTATCACTTCTCCATACAGACATAAACTCAATGACATATTCATCTTAATTCATATCTTATAACTATTTTCACAGTTTTCTCCTTTTCTCCTTGCTTTCTATAACCTTATTTTTCATTCTCATTCCTTTCTAAGTTCAATTACATATCTTTTTCTAATTTTCAGTATCTTTCTAATCAATATTTTTTTTTGTCTGTCCTGTTTACAATTTCATATTTTCTTTTCTCATAAAACAAATTTTCCCCTGTAATTACTAGACTGGAGTGTAACACCTTTGCATCTTTTAATCATTATCCATTCAAATCTTGTTTAAAGTTTAAATTATGCCTTTACAGTTATAACATTCATTTTCTAACCTATATTTGATAACACATAACTATTATCAACCGAATTCTGCTTGGTACATTCCCTTAAAGATACACACTAAGTTCTTGAAAAAAAATGTATATATGTATATATATGTATATATATGTATAACAATAGTAAATGAAATAATTATTCTATTGAAGTTCAGCTCAGCCATTAATACTGATAGCAATCTTACATTTTTATTTAAAATATTTCCATCTTTTTAAAAAAATAATTGAATAATATCAGTTGTCATTCACTTTAATTACCTATATTTCATATTTTACTCATTACTGTCTTCAAACAAAAAGCAAAACAATAGTTATTAACAGTAGTCAATAAAATTATTATTTTTATTCAAATTCATCCTGTCAACCAAGGGTGGAATTCAAATTTTTTAACAACGGGTTCTGTGGGCGTGGCTTAGTTGGTGGGAGTGGCTTGGTGGTCATGTTATTGGCTGGCCGTGGCCAACTCAATATCACTCACATCGAGGCATGCATGTCCTTGCCTGGCCTCTCGGGACTGTGGGGATGCTGCCATAGTCGTAAGTGTGAAAAATCATCATAAGTCACTTTTTTCAGTGCCATTGTAACTTTGAATGGTCACTCCACATAAGCAAAGTACCAGCAAAGGAGGGGAAAAAAACTCCAGAGAAGTTCCTGAGACAGGAAGTCTAGTCCTGCCAAGAATGTAATAAGGGTTAACGGAGAGGCAGTTTCTGTAAGCAACACCAGAATGTTTCCTTCCTGCCTTCCTTACAGGATTAGGCCAGTAATTTCTTCTAACAACCGGTTCTCCGAACTGCTTAGAATGTTAACAATTGGTTCTAGCGAATAGGTGCGAACTGGTAGAATCCCACCCCTGCTGTCAACTGATATTAAAAATCTTCCATGTTTCTTTTCAATGATATACCTTTTTTGAAATCATTGAGAGCCTTATTCTCTTATCCTCTTTGTTTCCTTTAATTAACAAATATTCCATTACATATCAATGCCAATTTTATCTGTTACTTTAATCATCTATCATATTTTCTAACTCTTTTCTATTTCTAGTATAACAATGCTATTTCATGTACCCTTGCAGAATCCTCTCTTTAAATTAAATTTTAACCATTGTCTCTGTGTCTTTTAAATAGGTGTATACCTTTAATTCTTATACGTTTTTCCTGTTTCTCTATATCTTGCTTCTGTCCTTTATAACTTCTTTTCCTTTCCATCTTCCCCCTCTTCTTCTCCCTACTCTTTTTGTTCCCTTTTCTATCTAATTCTCCCTTCTGTGATCCTCCCTTCTGCTTCTTCCTAATGTCATAGTTACTTTTCAAATTATTCTTTTTTTTTTTTGGTTGTTGCTTCAAGTCTTAAGTTTTTAACTCCCCCCCACTTTTCCTTTTTTACCCCACTTAAAATTGCTTGGTCATTAAAAATGGCTTCTTCTTTGTCCCAACCTGAGAGATGGCTCTTTCAGTATATAGAATAAGAGAGAAGCTCAAAGCCTCTAGCTGCTACAGCTTATGAAACCATCCCCCCCGCCAACTTCAACAGCCCTTTCTGCCAAAAATGAGTGGTGCAAATTTCCATCATTTTTGTGGATGGAAATGCAAACCGAAAGAGTTGCAAATTTGGTCTGGGATTCATCAGCGTTGAAATGCATTCATTCTTATTTTCTGGTTCTGCTGTTTGCTTAACTACTCTTTAACCCTCATTTTAATCCATCGGACAATTAGTCATTACCTTGAGGACATCTCCAGTTTCCAAGCTGAATGCCCTGGCTTTAAGTTGAATTCCTTTTCCTGGCTGCGTCTGGATGGAATAGATACATTCATGGTGGTTGTTGTAGTTTAGGGGATAATTTGGAGATAAGAGAACACCTTGAGTTCCAGTCACAGAGGAGCCACATTCCGCTACAGAGAAAAAGGCAGAAGGATTGACTGTTAATAGATGGGGATATACAAGTGATATAAAAAGCATATTGTCTGGGTAAAAACTGATGTGGGCTTATTGTGTTTTTCTTCTTACACGTGGAATCTTATGTCCCAATAAAGGAGAACAGTTGTAGCTCAGGATTCAAATAAGGGGTCTTTGATGCTCTCTGAGCTTGGTTGTTTTATGGCAGATATTTCATTAGCTAAACTACTGCAACATTTAGTTTCTAGTGCTAGACTAGAAACTAAACGTTGGATTACAGAAATAAAGAACCATCCTGTAAGTTGATCAGGATACTCATATGCTCTGCATTTAGACACCATAACACCATAGTCTACTACTACAACCATATGGCCACATTTTCCGGCTAACTAATTAAGCAAAGATGGTGTGCTCTCCTACACAATTATACTGTATTATAGAATCTTCTCTAGATGAGATGGGTAACATGTAGGTTTACTATACAAGTAAATATATCCCTGCACCCTGAATCAATCCTATTGTTTTATCTTAGTTCTGCACTTATTTATTTATTTTATTTATTTATTTGATTTGCCAATTGTTTACAAGATAATAAGTATAAGTGTATACATAGTTGTGAATACATGAAATGGGTACATATAAGAAAAAATAAAAGAAGAATAAGAGAAACAATAGGACAGGGACGGTAGGCACGTTGGTGCGCTTATGCACGCCCCCTACAGACCTCTTAGGAAAGGGGTGAGGTCAATAGTAGACAGTCTAAGGTTAAAGTTTTTGGGGTTTGGGGAAGAAACTACAGAGTCGGGTAGAGTATTCCAGACATTGACCACTCTGTTGCTGAAGTCGTATTTCCTGCAATCAAGTTTGGTGCGGTTAACTTTGAGTTTGTATCTATTGTGTGCTCTTGTGTTGTTATGGTTGAAGCTGAAGTATTCATTGACAGGTAGGACATTGCAATGTATGATTTTATATACCATGCTTAAATCAAACCGAAGATGGCGTAATTCAAGGTTTTCTAGTTCTAGAATTTCAACTCTGGTGGCATAAGGTATTCTACAACGAGTAGAGGAGTGGAGAACTCTTCTTGTGAAATATTTCTGGACTTTCTCAATTGTGCTAATATCAGATACGTAATGTGGGTTCCAGACTGATGAACTGTATTCGAGTATTGGTCTAGCAAATGTTTTGTATGCTCTGGTTAGTAGTGTGATATTACCAGAGAAAAAGCAACTCTTAATGCCTTTTTGGCTATGTAGTTGCAGTGGGCTCTAGCACTTAGATCATTAGAGGTGAGTATTCCAAGGTCCTTTACAGAGCTTGGGTCATCAACAAGATCTTAACTTCTTAACTATGTTATGGAGTTGAACACAGCTACAACTTTTCAAGCTTGTTGTATCTTTCCATGATATGTTAAAGCAGAAGACAACCCAGCCATACTGCCAATTCCCAGACAATGATGCCAAGTTGGTATATGATATGAGAAAGCTGGAAATCTAACATCAGTAAGCAGCATTTAAAACATCGCATTCAATGTCTTGATTAGGGCAAGTATTGAAATAAATGCAATCCCAATGGAGCAAAATTTCCACTAATGCTACTAATACTTAACTAATACTACACCCACAGTGTCCAGGCCATTTTTATACCTCCAGAGCACTTCTCCCTCACTGCAATTGCCACTGAGTTTTTCTCATTCTTTTATGGCTGGAAATAGCAGAGATATTGTCTGAAAAATATTGCTAATTTAACAAAGTCTGAAGACAATTCATTAAAAATTCTCCCTCTGCGGGGTGCCCACAGTGCTGTTGGAGGAGAGAGTACAAGAGTCAAGATATTGTGATGGATATAAAAATGGATTTTGACTAAAAGGGTTTTGACTTTTTTGGCCATTCCCATCTTGTCTCTACCTCATATATGTCAATTGTAACTCATACTGGTGAGAAAGTTGCATTGTTCTCTGTGACAGCAAGCGGCATCTTCCCATAATTCTAAGTCTAGTCTATCACCAAAGAAGTTTTAATTAGAAGAACCTGGCTGTTATGCCACTGTTGGAATCTGATTCTGAGGGCGAGGCCAAGCAGCTGGGAGTGAGGGAGTGAGAGTGTGGCTCTGTTGGCTGTGGAAGAAACTGGGGGAGGGCAGAGTCTGGCTGGGCAGAGCAGAAGAGAGGTAGAGCAAGGCAGAGAGAATTCAGAGGAAGATCCAAGCCCACCTCCTTTTCATCCTAGGGCACGCAGGGAGGAACAGAGAAGGGAGCAATGTGAGTTGCATGGCTTCTGGGGGAGGAAAGGGCCCTGATTCCCTTCATTAGCTGCAGCTGGGAACACTGTTTAAAAAGAGAGCAATTTATTGGAAAAAATCATGTATTATCTTGTTTTGTCAAAGCTTATCTGGGTTCCTGGCATCTTCCCAACTGTGTGTGTTTTGTTGGCCTTTGAAGTCTGGAATTCCTTATCCTGCCCTGTCCAGTTATAATACTTTATTTGCGGTCACAGACCAAAACACAAGTACAACAAAAGAAGAACATGGGAAAATTAATCATGAACAATTGGTCACCAAAAACTTGACTAAGGGGGATTACAGCGTTCTCCTCTGATGGTTACAGCACCCTGTCCAGTTAATTGCTGCAGCGTGGTTTGTGTGAATTTTTATTTACAGTTTATATGTATTTTGTTTTCAGACTGAATTTCCTCCACTTAAAGACTGTTCTTGGGAGAGTTTTTTCTCCAGCCAAAGGTAACTGGACATTGGAGGCAAAGTTGGAGGTATTAAAGGGACTTTTCTTACTTATGTGACTGTGTTGCCTTTGTGCCATGCCCCGGGTCATCACACTGGCTTCCAGATGTTAGGAGAATCTCTGCTGCTAAAAAATTTTGTGCGTTGTGATTATCTGCACCACACCACTTCTACAGTTAAAAATGTATGTCCCAGTATACCCAGGAACCATTTGGAAATGGATATTTTGGTTTCAATTTCATTAATTTTCCTAAATTAAATATATTTTTCTACTAGCACAGTTTGCAGTCACAAACAACAGAATCATGTTGTGGGCTTGTTTGCAATTTAGAGAAAGATATGCATGCATTATTTATTAGATTTAGATCCTATCTTTACTTTTGTACTCAAAGTGTTCTCTCCTTCCATGTTCCCAACAACAACCATCTCGGGTGGTAGGTTGGACTGAGAGAAGATGACTAGCCTAGAATCACTCAGCTGATTCTGTCCTTTATGAAGGATTATCACAGTGTATCTCTTAGCATTATATGAGAACTTAGTTTTCTGCTTTCCTCAACAAGCCATAGTTACAATGTACCATGCCTCAATGCACTATGTGAATTCCATCTTAATGTGAGCTAAACATGGCATAGATATATTATTTGGAATCTGGGATTACTCTACAGATTTGCAACTGGTTGCCTCCTCTCCCTTTCTCTTTTAACATTAACCATGACATAGGGATTCCCTGTAAACTTGATTAACCAATGTTAGCACAAATTAAGATTTGCAGGCCAGATTTAATAAATTCCCAACTATTAATTTAAATCTCCACTGCTGGGGTTATCTAAAATTAATAACTGGGTGCTTGTAAAATCTAATTCACAAATCTTAATTTGTGATAACGAAGGCTAACCTAGATGTTTGTGCAGATGTGATGTTGCCTGTACTCCATGACCTGACTGCTTGGCTTTGATTATTTTTTTTCATCTCTCTAAGATCAAAGGATGATCAAGCACATGGACAGTGCAAAATATATCACAAGACCAGCAATTCCAGGCTCCTGGTCTTGTTTATTCACTCAGCCTTATCCATCTCCTAATGCTTCCCACAGATCAAAAGCAAGAAAGGCTAAAGAGCTTGCCCTAGGTACATTCTGATACACTAGACTGCCCAAGCAAAATTAAAGCACGTGACCACCTACCAACACACCTTGGCAGTGGCGAACTCCACACACGCCGTCTACCGCCCAGACAAGTAATGCTGGAGACGCCTTCTAGTCGGTACCCAGGGAAGCAGGAGAAAGTCAAGATGTCCCCCACACCAAACTGAAGACCTTTGCGAATGCTGTAGATCGGCACTTCAGGCTCCTCACAAGGTTCTAGGTCATATTCTGATGGGCAGAGAAACATAAGCAACCACTGGAGCATTACCCCCAAGATAGAAAGCTTACACCTTTAAAACACAATTCATAGAAATCAACATTTCTCTAGCTCTTTCCCTCCCTGACATTAATAACTTTCCACCTCCCCACTTCCTGCTCCTGCCCTACCCATCTTTTAATTGGGCCATGGTGTTTTGGGTTTTGTATTATTTGTGTTTTTAATTTATATAGTTTTATTTTTTTATGATTGTAAGCTACCCAGATAAACTAAGGTATGATGGGTAGCCTATAAATTAAATTAAATTATTAATAAATACATCTGGCATGTCAAGATTTCCTGAAATGTTGCAATCATTTTCTTGACCATACAGCACTGATCTTCTATGCACATGACAATCTGCCTTGAAAAGGCCTTGATAATTATTCAGCATTTTTATTGGGGAGATTGGGGGCTGGAGAGGAACAGGTTGTGATCCAATCTGAAGAAAGAAACATGTTTTCCAATCTTCATTCCAAGGAGAAGAGAAAGTTGTGGTGCACCTGCACGTCTTTAGAAGGTCCTTTTTACTGTCTACTCCTCCTCCTGCCTGCAGTTTACAAGTCCCAGACTCCAATTTTCACACTTCACTCCAAGAAAAGAAGCTAATACCATGGGTTTTCCTCCTCTCTGTGCCCAGCAAGGATAGATAGCGACTCTTGAGAAATTGTTGGAGATTTTCACTTCTCCCTGGACTTCTAAGGAAGCATCCCCCTTATGGCTCTGCCTGCTGATTTGGTGGAAAAATCATTTGGATCCTTAGGCCAAGAATTATCCTGTAACTGACAAAGCCTTGGAAGCAGGATAAACTATTTTGCCTTTGGGCAAAGAGGAAAGGGAAAACTCCAGCCAGCCCTGTGTGAAGCCTTTCCCTACTTGAAAACACAGAGGTTAAATGTGAGTCTTTCTACATACAAATAGTAGATACTCTTATAATGAGCAATTCTTCTTCTGCCTCCCTTTTAACTCTGCTAACATTGCTGACTCTTGGCTTTGCTAGAAATAAAACTATGCCTTTGCAGTGCTAATTCCTCCATATTAATGTGGCAATGCAGATCCCACTGGGAAAATGTCTCCTCTATTTTTAGGCAGAAGTAAATTTTAGCTGAGTTACAGCAAATTACCATCCTTTCACCCACAGTTTGTGTGTGTGTGTGTGTGTGTGTGTGTGTGTGTCTGTCAGTGGACAGTGTTATTTTTTCAATGCACCTTTTTTTTTAAAAAAAAAAATTATGTATCTTCTGGTCCTGGAATCAATTTTTAATGTTTTGTTATTTTATTAGCATATAACATATTACAATCACAATTACAAAACTGGCAAACAAATAATGCAACAGAAACCAGACCATTATACACATATTGAGGATGGTAGGGCTGCAACTGCTTATTGTTTGCTACCAATCAAGATAGAAAATAAAAATAGTAAAACATGCCGTAGATTGGAACAAATTGGAACCCATTCATTAAAAACATAAAATAAAACTGCACATGCTGGAGAAAATAGTCAATATGGAAGCAATCTTTTCCTATAGCTTCCCTAATTTTTATTTCTTAGATCTGGCATTAGCTCCTCTGTTGTACATGACACAATATATTTTCAAATGCTAATGTTGTTAAAATTAAAATGAAGGTAGAATGCTGCAACGGAAGGTACAGCATTTACGGTCATCTTTATTTCTTTAAAAGAATTATGAGAACACTTTGCTGATAGGGAGAGGAGAGTCAAAAATAAGCTGAGCATTGAGAGCAAGGATCTTTGTGGATTAGACAGAGAAGCCTGGAGTAATCTCATTAGTCTGCCTTCTGGTTATATGCTGCTTTCTGACTAAACCCACTGTGATACCCATGTGGTCAAAATGTCAATTCTACCCACTGTCTCAAACTTCTGCTTTGGTTTTTAAGTGTAAAGGGTTTTGCTAACAGCACATGGCTTACAGCCACAGAATGGCTGTATGAAGAGCAGGCCCAACATTTATAGTGGTTTATGACTGACTAAGATTGTCATAAACCAAGGCAGGCCAAGGACTGGTCAGTATTTTTTTTTTAATCTAAAGTAAATGTTCAGTATCTAGAATATGTCTCTCCAAGATGTCCATTTCTTGTCTCCAATGCCATTTCTTGGCGATGAAAGAAGTCCTGTCCAGGGTATTTACTTACTTCCCAAGTACCAGCCCTTACCTGAAAAAGTGATATTGAAGCCTTCATAAGAAATGGAGAAGTCCGAAATGAAGCGGATCTGAGCAGAGAAGTTCCCAAAGAGACCAGCGCTAAAAGGAGCAGGCAGGTGGGAACCAGTGAGCTGTTTCAGTGGCTGACTGAAGCTGCCATTTTCAGTGATCAACAAGTAGTCATGACCGCTCTCCAAGTGGAAAGTGTGGAAAGTGAAGAAAACACCTGGAGGTAATAAAGTTCAAGAGATATGCTACTTCAGAGATACCTGAATGTTGCTGAGAACTGGATCATGATTAATCAGAGAACAGAAATCACAGAACTACCAAATCCCACCAACCACAAAATCAAAGACACATAGCATTCTTCATTTGACAAAGAATCAGCTTTACAACATGAATGAATGAATGAAATAATGAATTAATGAATATTTCAGAGATTGTGCAAAACATCACAAAGCACGTCACACTGGAGACTTTAGGATTTCAATAGCTTTGGTACAAGGTACATAGAGAAGTGTGTTTAAAGCAATAATGGGGGAAAGAATGGAAAGGTCTAGATTTGATCAGAATAACAGTTGCACAATATGACTCTTTGATGATTCTCCTTGTATTAAACCTAATCTAGGATTTTTTCAAGCAATCTTCTGGATTTGGAAACCACAGAAAACTAGGAACATAGTTTTAAAAACAAAGGGAATAAAACACAATAAATCTAAGATAGTCATTCATGAATTCTGCACTTTCAATTATGGTGTGTTTTCTTTCCATCCCTGTGGGAAGCACAGAGAACTCAACACGATTCCAACTCTATCAAAGTTTTATCAACTGGCTGTGGGACCATCAACTTGAGAGAAAGAAAATGAGTAGAAACCTTTAACCCAGAAAATTGAGTCAGACTCAGAGAACTCAGGGGATCATAGTTTGCTGTAAATATGATATAGTAAAACTGCTTAGCTCTGTCTGGAAGTTCCCATTGTGAGATTATCTAGTGGATGAAATGCCCTCTGATGATGCTGTAACTTGCACATTAAGGGAATGGTCATCAATATTAATTTTCTTTTCTTGAATCTTTGGGAATACCTCCAAATCTTAAGTTTAATTATCTTTGTTGGACTCTCAAGACCTATTTCAGATGCAGTATGTGAAGATCTAACTCTCTGGGGAAGGCCGTAATGCTGAGAAAGGTGAAAAGAAAGAGAAGAATGCAACAGGAGCAAAGTGGATAGTTATGCTAGTCATGAATGCATTATTGGAAGAGCTGAAGAATCAGGTTAGGGGCAGATTGCCTTAGAGAACAATCTATGGGGGGTCCTAAAAGTTAACAATGACTTTGTGGCACTTAATCAGTTAATCAATCAAGACCTCTAAAGTCTGTCCTGGTTTGTTAATTCTTGAGACTCCAGTCATTTCCAGCTGAGTGCTCCATCACTGGAGGTTTTTAAGAAGAGATTAGACAGCCATTTGTCCAGAATGGTGTAGGGTCTCCTGCTTGGGCAGGCAGTTGGACTAGAAGACCTCCAAGATCCCTCCCAACCCTATTATTCTATATTATATGTTCGGTGTCCTTCTTTCAGCTTTGATACTTCTTGAATATTGAATTGTACATCCCTTGTAAGGTTTTTTTAAATTTCAGTCCATAACACTATACTTATTTCATCTGCTTTGTGAAATATCCTTTCTTGTAAATGCTGAAATTCAGAAAGGAGGTTGTACAACTTGCCTCTTGGTGTGACCAGAAAAATCTGGAACTCACTCAAAACCATAGAAATGGTGGTAGACTTTAGGAGAAACCCTTCTATACTACCACCTCTTACAATACTAGACAACACAGTATCAACAGTAGAGACCTTCAAGTTTCTAGGTTCTATCATATCTCAAGACCTAAAATGGACACCTAACATCAAAAATGTCATAAAAAAAGTACAGCAAAGAGTGTTCTTTCTGCACCAACTCGGAAAGCTCAAACTGCCCAAGGAGCTGCTGATCCAGTTCTACAGAGGAATTATTGAGTCTGTCATCTGCACCTCTATAACTGTCTGGTTTGGTTCTGCAACCCAACAGGACAGACTTCAGAAGATAATTAGGACTGCAGAAAAAACAATTGCTACCAACCTGCCTTCAACCGAGGACCTGAATAATGCTCGAGTCAAAAAGAGGGCTGTGAAAATATTTACTTCCTAAATGCCAGAAAACAAATAATTCTCTTTACACTGTCAAACTATTTACTAAGTCTGCATTAATATTACTATTACTATTCATCTCCTCATCCTTCCTTTCACCCATCTCCTCCCACTTATGACTGCATGAACGCAACTTTGTTGCTTGTATCCTTATGATTTTTAATTGACTTTTTACTAGTATAATTTGATTTGATCACTTATGTTTCCTAGTATGATTTGATTGCTTATTTGTACCCTTTGATTACTATTAAGTGCTATACCTATGATTCTTGATGAATGTATTTTTTTTCTTTTTCTTTTTATGAACACTGAGAGCATTTGCACCCAAACAAATTCCTTGTGTGTCCAATCACACTTGGCTAATAAAGAATTCTATTCTATTCTATTTATCACAAAGGTTTCTTCTCAGTTCCTCTCCAAAATAAGGACATCTGGCATTACAAACATATCCCTCAATGCCTAGTTGAACCTCATCCTTGTCTTCTATTTTTAGGCAAAAGGGAGCTAGAAATGCTTACACTGGGTTTTTGAGCTATTGCATTTTTAACAAATATACTGGGATTGTTTTTTAGTGAAGCACTTTAAGGGGGAAACCACTATTATTTTTGAAGTGTAATGATACAACTCATTAGTCTATAATATATAGAAGTTCCCTTGAATATATATAAAACAAAAGCAGAGAATGAGGAAATATATTTGCATTAAAATCAAACCTTATGCTAAGTCAAAATTCATTGGCGCAACAATTTCTTGTTTCTCTGTGGTGTTGTTTGACAAATTATGTTTTCATCTGCACTGGTTAAGGAGTTGATTATTTTTACCTGATGTCTTTTACTGTTCCTTTTACTGTTTTATATGCATGTTTTTTCTTTTCATGCCTTGTTAGCCTTCCAGAATTATTTGATTACAGTGGACAATCATTAAAAACAACAGAGTAAATAATTACGTAAAAAGATGGTTGCTTTTTTACTGTTTACATCTTAATATAAACAGCTTGACTATTGAGTGACTGGTCCAGTCATCCAGAAAGCTTCCACTTATTTATCAATTTATATATTATTTTATTTTACCTGCCACAACCAAGATACTTTAAGAAGGTGAAAATACTGCCATTAAAACAGCCATGATACAATATGTTAAGGAAACAATCTTTCAGACCTACAGAATGTTAAAAATATAAAATAAAAATCATAGAAAGAACAAGCCAAAAAAAGAGATGGCATCATTTAAGAATCAAAATTTTAAACAATTCTAAGTACTTTAACTACTAAAATCCTTGTACAGTAGGAGCTGACTGAATTTCAAGAGGACACGTTCCATTATACCAGTGCTGCAACATGGAAATAACATCCAGGGACATTCATTTTCCCTCCTAACAAAAGTGGGGATCTGCCGACAGATTCCTCTGGGACCTTAACATTCCAAATCTAACAGGCAGTTCATCTCTCTCTCTCTGTCTCTCTGTCTCTCTGTCTCTCTGTCTCTCTCCCTCCCTCCCTCCCTCCCTCCCTCCCTCTCTCTGTCTCTCTCTCTTTTACCACATATTCCCTAATTGGCTAAGATCTCTTAGTGAAGAAGAAAAAAATGTTCAATGGGGGCAAATGACAACTAAGTCTCAGGATTGTAAAGATACTATATCCAAGGGGATATACAAGAGGATTTTTGGACTTTTGACATACCCCTTCTTCATTATTCCAAAAGGCCAATCTTCCTTAACACAAGGAAAAGGATATTTCACATCTTCCCACCTTTATCTTGCCTACTATCTCCACACTACTTTTGGGCAAGTATACTTGTATACTCTCTACTATACACAGAGAGTATACAAGTATGTCTCTCATAGATAGTTGTTGGCTCTTAGAATGATGTGTAATTAAATGGAGACAATTCCCCCCACCCAGTCAAGATTCTCATTCAACACTCTCTGAATATAGGGAGCCTGCTTACAGGATTATTTTCACCTAAATTGATGATGCCATTTTCAGGAGGAGTATTCAGGGTGGAGATTACCCCAGGAGTGAAGAACTGCAGAATATCAAGTGGAGACCATTGGTCCATTTAGCTTCAAGCTCTGTCTTCAAACAGCAACTGCCAACTCCTTATTAAGAGCTGATCAGTGCCTAGGGATTACCATGAAATGAGGCTGCTAACTGCAAACAAGTATATATATCAGAAACAAAGCCAAGAGCCTCAAGGCTTTGATAACACAAGATTTAAGCAGACTAGAAAGTTAATTCTAAGGGATAAGAAATGGACATGCTCAGCTTTAGCTGGGTAAAAAAAAAATCTTTAACTTTTCATTTTCAAAGGAGATGGCTCCTTTTTCATGGGAGAATAGGAGACACTGATATTCCTCATGTGTGGATGAGCCTCTTTCTGCCCTTCTGTTTCAACTCCTTCCCTCAAAACAACACTACAGAGCGCTGCACACCAGAACACCTAGACACAAGAACAGTTTTTCCCCAATGCCATCACTCTGCTAAACAAATAATTCCCACAACACTGCCCAACTCTTTACAAAGTCTGCATTACTATTACTATTAATCTTCTCATCACTCCTTATCACCCATCCCCTCCCACTTGTGACTGTATGACTGTAACTTTGTTGCTTGTATCCTTATGATTTATATTGACTGTTTCCTAATATGTTTTGATTGCTTATTGTACCCTATGACTATCATTAAGTGTTGTACCTTGTGATTCTTGACTCTTGACGAATGTATCTTTTCTTTTATGTATACTGAGAGCATTTGCACCATGACAAATTCCTTGTGTGTCCAATCACACTTGGTCAATAAAGAATTCTATTCTATTC